GATTGCTACCAACTAGGTGAATTTGGCTATGGAGCCTGTGTAGCACCCACTGTTGGTGGCAACAGCAATATGCACTAGACATGTGCAATTCGTTTCGGTCCGCATATGAATTCGGACGAATTTCGGGCAATTCGGACATTCCGGTACTTCCGAATGTCCGGGGTCCCGAAGTTCTGAAATTACTGAATTTCCGAAGTGTTGAAGTGCCTAAGTTCCGAAGTGCCGAAGTTGCCAAAGTTCCGAAGTGTCGAAGTGCCGAAGCACAGTATTGCCTAAGTACTAATATACTTACCCAGTGGAAGAAGAAGAATGTTACACTGTATGCACGTTTAAATAAAAAGTATACAAACATAGCCAGGATTCAGCTGTAAGCATTTGCAACACTTACAACAATCAAGTAACATACATTCATATAAAATGTAAGTTACTTAGCCAGTCAGTATAATGACAGGAATGAATAAGAAGATAACTCCCTAATTCCCACGGTATTAGGGAGCTATCTACTAAAAGGCTGAAAGATCTGAATTGGTCTTTCAGCCAAATTTACTAATACTAAGTAAAGATTACTTAGTTTTAGTAAATTATGCCCCTACTCGCTATACAGCGAGTAGGGGCATGTCTATTAAACAGTGAGCAGCCTATGGCTGCTCACTGTAAAAAAACAAAACAAAAAACACGTCCCCCCTCCCAAGCCCCCACCCGTGCCGCACGAGTGGGGCTTCTAACCTGAAGGGGGGACCTATTGCACCCCCGGCCCCCACCCCTGAATGGCGGGTGGGGGCCCTAAAGTAAAATAAGGGGGGGTCCTATTGTCCTCCACCCAGTCCCCACCCATGAGCAGTGGGTGGGGGCCCTAAATTAGAATAAGGGGGGACCTATTGTCCACCCCCCTGCCCCCACACCTGAGCAGTGAGTGGGGGCCCTAAATACCAATTGGGGGGTGACCTAATATCCTCCCCCCTGGCCCCACCCCTGAGCGGTGTGTGGGGCCCTAAATAAAAATATAACCCCCCCCCCAGGTGACTAGAGGTCCCCAAACCCCTAGTCACCCCCCTCCCCCCAAAAAAAACTAACCCCTCACCCTAAAAATAATGAGGGAGGAGCATTAACTAAGTACCTGGGGGGAGCATTAACTAAGTACCTGTTAAAAAAGATGAAATTAAACTTACCATTTTATGTTTTCTTTCTTCTAAAATCTTCTTTTTTCTGCCCCAGAAAAGGCCAAATCAAAATCCATAATAACCGACGCACTTAAAAAAAAAAAAATGAGCGGAAAAAAAAAAATCCATCTTCACCCATGGAGGGGCTCCACGCAGACTGAGCTCTGAAGGGCGGGGGAAGGCTTATAAAGCCTTGTCCCGCCCTGCTATTAGTCTCTACATTTACCTGTCACAGCACTCTGATTGGTTGGTTTGAAATCCACCAATCAGAGTGCTCTGTGTCATTTTACACAGTGTGGGAAAGTTCTTTGGAATTTTCCCACGCTGTGTAATTTGACTCATAACTCTCTGATTGGTGGATTAAATAACCAATCAGAGTGTTATGAGTCATATTACACAGCAATAGGGCAATAGGTTCTATTTAGGGCCCCCACCCTCCGCTCAGGCGTGGGGGTCGGGGGGGTCAATAGGCCCCCCTTTAGTTTAACCCCTTAAGGACACATGACGGAACTATTCCGTCACAATTCCCTTTTATTCCAGAAGTTGTGTCCTTAAGGGGTTAAAAGCCCCCACTCACACTTCGTGGATGGGGGATCGGGAGGAGGGACGCTTTAAAAAAAAAATGTTTTAACAGTGAGCAGCCACAGGCACTATTTACTAGACATGCCCCTACATAGCAATTAGGGGCATAATGTACTAATACTAAGTAAACTTTACTTAGTATTAGTAAATTTGTCTGAAAGAGCAATTTAGGTCTTTCAGCCTTTTGGTAGATAACTCCCTAATACCGTGGGAATTAGGGAGTTATCTACCAAGCGGCTGCAAGAGAAGTTCCAAAATTCCGAAGTTCGGAAGTGTCGAAGTTCCAAAGTGTTGAAGTGCCGAAGTTCCGAAGTTCCGAAGTGTCGAAGTTACCGAAGTTCCGAAGTTCCGAAGTGCCGAATTTCGGAATGCCGAACTGAACTGAAAATTTTTCCCATGCACATGCCTAATAGCTACCGGAATAGCAAGGCTGGTTAATTTGCATATTCAGGAGATTTGCATATTGCTAATTCTGCAGGCAGGAGAGATATTTTGTGCTGGTGTTGTCTTCCCCATCCCTTTATAAATATGTTATTATGCTATTATAATTTCCTGTATATTTTGTGACGTTTTGGTTATTTGAATTTTATTACGTTTGTCACAGCAATCTAAATGTAATGATCATATGGACGAGTCCCAAGTAAAATAAAGTATTGCATGTTGGTTTTATTTGGAACTGGGTGCCCTTTGTGGATTTTTAGGCATTGGACCTGATGGCTGTGTAACAGCTGCCTGTTCCCTTGTTTATCACTATAACATCTTAAAGCACAGATTTTAGCAGTGCTAACCGTACAGAAATCTTAGCCATAATATTATATAGTTAGTAAGAGTTCCTCTATTTAAAATATATAAATAATTGAGAATACAATATAAAATAGGTATTGTCTTGGAAGCAATAAAGTTTTGTCTTTTTAAATATTTTATTAAATAAAAATATAAATATAGACATATAAAAACTTGATAATCCAATATAATAATTTATATCAGAGTTTATAAGATTAAAGTATATACTTGCAAAATCAGTAACATAGAATAACATACCCTCTTGCACATGTCAACCTCTAATTTATGATAAAATGGAGCAGCATATGTCTCCAAAATCTCTCCTCTGTGTGCTAATATTAATAAGTACACATATTTATACCTTAGATTTTTAATTACGTCATGTTAGGACTTATCTTAACTTGGCAAAGATACAAGGCCAAAATTTGGTCATTTCACATGGTAAAACTTAAAGGACCACTATAGTGCCAGGAAAACATACTTGTTTTCCTGGCACTATAGTGCCCTGAGGGTGCCCCACCCTCAGGGTCCCCCTCCCGCCCGGCTCTGGAAAGGGGAAAGGGGTTAAAACTTACCTTTTTCCAGCGCTGGAAGGTGAGCTCTCCTCCTCCGATCCTCCTCTTCTCCTCCTCTCGGCTGAATGCGCACGCGCGGCAAGAGCTGCGCGCGCATTCAGCCGGTCATATAGGAAAGCATTCATAATGCTTTCCTATGGACGCTGGCGTGCTCTCACTGTGAAAATCACAGTGAGAAGCACGCAAGCGCCTCTAGTGGCTGTCAATGAGACAGCCACTAGAGGCTTTGGGGGAAGGCTTAACCCATTAATAAACATAGCAGTTTCTCTGAAACTGCTGTTTATGAAAAAATGGGTTAACCCTAGCTGGACCTGGCACCCAGACCACTTCATTAAGCTGAAGTGGTCTGGGTGCCTAGAGTGGTCCTTTAAGACATGGAAAATTCCCTGACTTGTTGTTACAATAACCTAGGACAATATGGCATACTAAAGTCGGAACACTATATTTACTGAATATGGGTAATTTATTAAAGAAACATTGTATTAAAAAAACAATATGTTCCATTTTTAACAAATTGTCAGTTTGCAAAATCTCTTAAAGACAAAGTACACAGTTTAAGAAGTACTTTTCATTCTAAAAACTTGTAATATTTGCATATGCCCATAATAGCTGCAAGAGCGCTAGGCATAAGAGCCGCAAGTGCAATAGCAATCACTGTATAAATAATAAATAAAGAAGGTCTGCAGAGGAATAGGCAGAGGGGACAATACCTGCCTAAAGAAGGTCTGCAGAGGAATAGGCAGAGGTGACAACCAGAAATTCTGACAAAGCACAAGGTCTGGGCCCCTCCTGCCCGGCCCACCCACGAGTCCACCCACAGGACTCCTACCTAGTCCTCTGCAAAAGATGCAGGACTGAATGTGGTGTGTATAGTGGAAGTGAATTAGAATGTGTGTAATGGATGTAGTGTTTGTGTGTATTAATTGCTGTTTGTGCAGTGAATGCAGAGTGTGTGTTTGTGTAGCAGATGCAGTGTGTATAGTGAACGCAGAGTGTTTTTGAGTAGTGGATGTAGTGTGTGTTTGTGTAGTGGATGTAGTGTTTGTGTGTACCAGATGCAATGTGTTTAGTGAATGCAGTGTCTGTAGTGTGTGTATTAGACGCAGTGTCTCTGTATAGTGAATGCAGTGTGTGTGTCAGTGTAGTGGATGCAGAGTGTGTGTCAGTGTAGTGTATGCATGTAGTGTAAATGGAGCATCCGCCCCACCACCACTTTAAAAGTGATAAATGTTATTCCCCCCTCCCTGCTTCTTACCTGGTCCAGGGAGGGGGGAGATTCCATCCCTGGTGGTCTGGTGGCATGGTGGGGCCCCCCGGCTCCCTGTACTTGCAGAGGGGGCCCAGCGGACTGCAAGTGTACTTACAAGCTCTTCCCTCTCTGTAACTCCCGCGAGACGTGGTGTGCGCGTTGCGCGGAGCGTTGCCATGGTAACCCGTGGGAGTTACAGAGAGGGAAGAGCTTGTAAGTACACTCGCAGTCCGCTGGGCCCCCTCTGCAAGTACAGGGAGCGGGGGGGGGGGCCCGCAGCTGCACATATATATAGCGATCATCGCTATATATATGTGCAGAGAGGCAATGTGAGGCCCGGGACTACCAAAGCACGTCACTCCTCCCAGCTAACACACAGACCACGCGGGAGGAAGCAGAGGGAGTCAGAGTGGGAACTCTGACTCCCATTCATCTGAGCCACCTACCTAAAAGGTAGGAAACAGGAGGGTGACTAAAATATTTTGTGTGTGTTTGTGTGTATGTGTCTTTGTATGTATGTCGTGTGTGTGTGTGTGTGTGTGTGTCTTTGCATGTATGTCTTGTGTATGTATGTGTATGTATGTGTGTCTTACAAAGTTGGAAGCATAGCACTGTCCAAAATGTTGTGTTGTACTGATGATTAAGATTTCCCTTTGTTGGAAGTAAGAGGCCTAGCTCAACCCCTGAAAAACAGCTCTCTGCCATTATCCCTGCTCCACTAAACTTTACAGTTGGCACAATGCACTGAGGCAGTTAACTTTCCCCAGGCATTCGCCAAACCCAGACTTGCCCTTCAGACTGCCAAACAGAGAGGTGTGATTTGTCACTCCACAGAACACGTTTCCATTCCTCCAGAGTCCAGTGCCGGCATGCTTTACACCACTTGATCCGACGCTTGGCATTGTACTTTGTGATGTGAGGCTTGCATGCAGCTGCTCGGCCATGGGGACCCATTCAATGAAGCTCCCGCTGCACAGTATTTGTGCTGATAATATTGCCAGTGGAAGTTTGGAACGCTTAAGCTCAGAACAACCAATTAATTTCACAAAGGTTTGTAAATGCAAATTACATGGCTAGGTGCTTGATTTTATACACCACTGACAATGGGTCTGATTGAAACACCCGAGTTCAATAATTAGGTGTGCCCAAATACATTTGTTTATATAGTGTATATTTTAGTCTGATCAATCCCACTGCCAGCAATATATATGCCTGTTACTCAAGTCACTGAGATTTATTAGGCAGGCTCTAGTCATCTACAGTCAAGGCTTGGCAATTTTATCAAAAACTTTGTAATTTGGTTTATATTTCACTACCATTGATTTTTAGTGGATAAAGCTCAGTTAGTATGAAGCTCTGATAAACTCGGACACATAGCAGATTAATGTAGATTATTACTGTGGAGCTCTGTGATATGCTTGAGTAACCATCACAAGAGCCCCCAGTTATGCACAATACTTTCACTTTTATTGCAGTGGCGCTCTGCAATCTGCTCATACTTCCTCCCTTTAGATAGACTTATTATAAGCTTTGATGAGGACTCCTTAAACAATAAACAGCCTAGCAGTGGATAACTAAAAATGTGACCAAAGAGTTTACTTTATTTCTTTTTGTAGCAGCACTCTTCTCTCTCCTCCAGCTCTGCTTCACTCCCACCTTATTTGATTGATATTTCCTGTCCTAATGTGTTTTACACCCCACCTCCTACAGGGAGTGCAGAATTATTAGGCAAGTTGTATTTTTGAGGATTAATTTTATTATTGAACAACAACCATGTTCTCAATGAACCCAAAAAACTCATTAATATCAAAGCTGAATATTTTGGAAGTAGTTTTTAGTTTGTTTTTAGTTATAGCTATGTTAGGGGGATATCTGTGTGTGCAGGTGACTATTACTGTGCATAATTATTAGGCAACTTAACAAAAAACAAATATATACCCATTTCAATTATTTATTATTACCAGTGAAACCAATATAACATCTCAACATTCACAAATATACATTTCTGACATTCAAAAACAAAACAAAAACAAATCAGTGACCAATATAGCCACCTTTCTATGCAAGGACACTCAAAAGCCTGCCATCCATGGATTCTGTCAGTGTTTTGATCTGTTCACCATCAACATTGCGTGCAGCAGCAACCACAGCCTCCCAGACACTGTTCAGAGAGGTGTACTGTTTCCCTCCTTGTAAATCTCACATTTGATGATGGACCACAGGTTCTCAATGGGGTTCAGATCAGGTGAACAAGGAGGCCATGTCATTAGATTTTCTTCTTTTATACCCTTTCTTGCCAGCCACGCTGTGGAGTACTTGGACGCGTGTGATGGAGCATTGTCCTGCATGAAAGTCATGTTTTTCTTGAAGGATGCAGACTTCTTCCTGTACCACTGCTTGAAGAAGGTGTCTTCCAGGAACTGGCAGTAGGACTGGGAGTTGAGCTTGACTCCATCCTCAACCCGAAAAGGCCCCACAAGCTCATCTTTTATGATACCAGCCCAAACCAGTACTCCACCTCCACCTTGCTGGCGTCTGAGTCGGACTGGAGCTCTCTGCCCTTTAACAATCCAGCCACGGGCCCATCCATCTGGCCCATCAAGCCTCACTCTCATTTCATCAGTCCATAAAACCTTTGAAAAATCAGTCTTGAGATATTTCTTGGCCCAGTCTTGACGTTTCAGCTTGTGTGTCTTGTTCAGTGGTGGTCGTCTTTCAGCCTTTCTTACCTTGGCCATGTCTCTGAGTATTGCACACCTTGTGCTTTT